CGACGTCATGGATACAGCTGTTTTGTCAGGCCCTCTGATCATATTATTTATTATCATCGTCTTTATTCTTGACAAATTTGTTTCACAAGCTCGATCAATGCGAAGATAAATGATAAATGATACCAACTAAGAGATTGACCGTCGCACCTGCTTTTATGTTAATCAGTATCGTCCTGTCGACTTTTGTCCAAATAATTTACAATCGAATAAAACAAGCCAAATTAAAGACATTTTAGTACAAATTACAGGCTTGTTTAATTATTGATCATATTGTAAACAACACACAGCTCTTAAATTAATTACACTAAGACTATTAGGAGAGGTTTTTATACATCATATTTTTTTGGTATTAAAAAATACTCTTTTTTTTTTTTAAAAAAAACTTAATTAAACACGTTACGTAAGTACAAGTTTGGAAAAAGCAGTATTTCAAGTGCTCGCTACACAAGCGAGACACACTTGGCCAAGTCATATTACCTAACCGTCTCGGGGGGGGGGGGGGGGGGGGTGTCTCTTTGGAGGGAGAAGGTACCAAAAGGGGTTCGGTCACTATTTGCTTAGCCTAAAACAGACAGACTTACAAGTCTCGTTTGGACCGTTGTTCCCAGAACTTGTCCCAGAACGACGATCTGTGCTTGATGCGCAACACGCTCGTGCTGAGCGTCCGGGGAAGCTTGCCGCCGGGTTGGCCGGGCTGGCCGCCGGGGCCCGCGCCGGACGACGACGAGCACCCGGCGGCGGCCGCGTCGCACATGCCGGTGACGGACGCGGACGCGGTGATGCCCAACGAGCCGAACTTGAACATGGTGGTGCCGGCGGCCGAGGAGCCGCGGCGCCGCGGCCCGTCGGCGGACGCCGGCGGCGAAGACACGGTCGGCGACTCCATGCGTCCACCGCGGTGGCTAGGCCGTGTCGACGAGTCTACCAGGCGGCGTCCGCATCACGAGACACCCGCGCACGCTGGACAGAGAGAACGCAAAGATTAACACGCCAGGCACGAGGGCGAGCACAGGCCAGTCTGCTGGAGATCGGTAATAATAACTGCACACGCACACGGACGACTACGGCGGCGGCGGACGAGCGGAGACTGACGTGACGGCCGACGTACGGCCGGTGTGCATTTGGTCGTGCCGCAGCCGCCGGCGGTGGCCCGACGCGGGGAACCCCGGTCGCGCGGTGTTACCGCCCGCACGGTAATTACCGTACCGCGCCGCCGGTCGGTACGATAACGAACGTATAATACCGTCCCACGTGCGAAAACAAACGTAACAAACAAACGATAACAACAATAATGACGGCGTTCAAACAATTTTATATAATATGGTGGTTAAGGTTTTCATTATTATTTTATTACATACAAACATAACTTGCTCAAGTTTTTTCTAAATTTTCTTTATTATTTATATTCTACAATTAGATTGAATCTCTAATCTTTATAAGTTCCAGCGACAGGGTTGGCATAAAAAAACTCAACTCTTTTTTGGGCTTTGAAACACAGAGTGGGCTTAAAAAAGCCAGGGTTGTTTTTTTTCAAAAAGTAAAATTCCACTAAAATTTAAAAAAAAATTGATACTCGGAAAAGGACTGTTATTGAAAAAAATAACATCACTTTGGTACTTTCGTTTTTTTTCGGTAAGCCTTTACAAGCAATATTGTATTAAAAAATGCTTAATATTTATACAAGAACACAACATAAGTCGCAAAAATATAGAAAGTAAAAAAAAATTTTTAATTATTATAAATCTATTTGAAAATACAAATTTTGGGTTTTGAATCCCTCCTAAATACTCGAGTGGGTTGGGTTGGATTTTTACCAACAGCTCTGTGGCCATCAATGCTTAATCTAATTTTATGTCAATATGGACAGTTATATTTTAAATGTTGCGGATGACAACTTTCCACACAGCAACAGCATGTTTGAAAAATATTAAAGTAATATTTCATCGAGCAATATATTATATTTTCAATTTCAAAGATAATTTTGTACATTTGGCGGTTAGCGGTGGAAATATGTATGGAGAACAAGGGTATGTCAAGGATAAGATACATTTAAATATATCTCGAGGTGCATATTATGTAGTTGGAAATTTTCAGAAAATATTTTCTCGGGTATTGAACGTGGGCACGTGTTAAGGCTTAGGAGCGGGATGGGGGGTGGGGGCAATCTTCTTATTTTTGTATATTAATAATAATAATAATAACAATGCTAAGGCGGCAAGCGTAGGATTCGTTATAATATCATCTGCATATTAAAAGCCACAATGGCTCGTTGTCTCGAGTGTGGCTTTAAACCGTGCAAAAGACACAAGCAACGTAATAAATATAAGAAAGCCTGGAAAAATTTAAAATTTACTTATTTGTAATTGTTTGAAAATAATTGTCTTGAAACGTGTAGAGCGGTTTTTGTTATGTTATAACATAAGAGAACTTATGGAGTTGTCCACTAGGTCGCGCTGGTTTGTGCTAAATCTGCAAAATCGGTCTCGTTGAACAAAACTCGAGTACTATTGATGAGCACACACATTCACACGGCCGGGTAGGTGGTTTTGCTTAACATTCAGAAAATTCCCAGTGGGATTACCAGGACGACAGGAGCCTAACCAAGGGGATGGATGTGGGGTCGAGAAGATTTAAACGGGAGTTAAGTGAGTATAGGTCACAAACAAAGAGCGTTCCCTTCTTTTCGACCTCGTTTTTAAGGTATTTTCCACTGTTGTCAGCATCTTTTTTTTTTTTTTAAATTATGCGTTTTGACTTTAATATCATATTAACATAACACAAACGATAGTGTTGTTGCACCTGACGGCCCCCCATCGAAGCAACTAGAGGGGGGGGGGTGCTGCTGAGGAAGAGCAGACTTTTGAAAACTCTGAAAGGCCTATCAGAATTTAAGTGAAAATTATTACAGACCTTACTGTACGGGGGGGGGGGCTGTGTTTGTTCGGTCGACCACGGTGTGGGCACAACCTGCAAACAGTTGTACCAACAGAAATTCCATATCCGAGCGCACCGGGTGTTCACTATTATATTAACTGTTTTTGACTATTTTTTTAAAAATTATAATTATTATTTTCAAATAAGTTATTAGACCTTTTTAAGGTGAACTCGACAAACCTAAGCCCAAGTCGACATCAACACTTTTTGAGCGTTACTCTTTTACAATAATAATAACAATGATTAAACTTGAATTCAAGTACAAAAGAGTACACCCTATTCGCAAATAAGTATAAGGCCTATGTTTTATTTTTATTTTACACTAATTGGATTATACCGTTTTATTATTATTATTATTTGACCTTCGCGTCAACAGAAGAGATATTTCCAACATCAAATAAACATTTTTATAGAATTAATTTTTAAATATTGATAAAAGCTTTTCTTTTTTTTTAGCGTTCCGATTTTATGTTAAATTAATAATAATTTGTATTTTTAAAGTATATTATCGACTTTGTGTTGTATATTTCCACAAGTTCATTGTTGTTCGGTTTACTTTTTGTATTTTTTATATATAAACAATTTCCACTCTTCTTTCCATTCTTGTACATTTCTCAGAGCTGTATGGCTATATCGTTATTATTATAAAGCTTGTTGATTTTTTTTACAAAATAACATTCTCTCCTTAACTCGGTTTCTTTTTCACAAAAAAAAAGTATCGTCTCATCGATAACAATGCCATTAAATTGTGCACGAATCGTTGGGACTAAGTTGTTTGTTTTCTTTCCCTTAAACTCTCTTTAAAAAGAAACACATCTCTAAGCGATATCTTTTTATAGATTCACGTGCAAGGTAAGCCGTTTGATCTCGATGAAAAATAAATTAAATTCACACGCTTCCGGTGCCACCGATCAAACCATAATCCACCATCAAGTCCATTCAACTTTAAACTCAATTTAGAGACTGTTGTCTTGGGTCTCGAGTATAATAATATGTTAAAAAACCGTTTATAATTATTTAAGCCGCCCTGTAAAACGCTATTTATACCATTACTTTGCATTGCAGCAACAGTAACAAAAAAATATACCCAATGAAAAATAGTGCATTTTTTTTTGATAGGGTAGTATGTATTTTTAGGGTAGAAAGAAAATAAGTTTGAAAATTGTTGTCGAGTATATATATCTTTTTTTTTAAGATCTATATTTAGCAGTGGAAACGGTAGATGTTTTTTTTTCATTATAAATAAATAAAAAAGAAAAACGCCATTTGCTACTAATTAACATTAAAACCTAATTTGTTTTATTTTTTTTTATACATTTTATATATATATATTATCTACTACCTACGGGTGAACGCTATTTTTACCACCACTTCATATAATGTTTATCATGTTGTGAATAGTTTGTGAAAAATTACCAAAACTAATTACTATATAATATATATTATGATAAGTCCTAGACGGCGACACGATTAACCTTTAATTCTATATGTAGATAAACCACAGCCAGTACACGTTTAGATATAGACAATGTTAATATATTATTGGCATGCTTGTCGATTTCCACAAAACTTAATGTAACACATCTGCAACGAGTAACCCCAACTTCCCCAAGTAATGTAAGTTTGCACAGCCTAAACGCTGTCCATTAAAAAAAAAAAACAACATCCAAAGCTTAAGTACAAAATACAGGTGTGTATACAAATCAGCTGTGCACAAAGTCAACTGTACTAAAACTATACTAAGCATTGTTTTAGTACAACAAAATACCGAGCCCGGATCTGTGCGGGTTTATTTTATGGAAAGCATATACAGGCACAACCGATTACTTAACCGTCCAGTTCATAATGTGTCACCCGATAGATAAGAAGAAGAAAATCTCATAAGTGGCCTGCATAATGGGTTACCACAAGTGACAATATGTACAATATGTGAACTGAACGGGTTCCACACACTACAGCTGTGCTACGTGCATAAAATATAATATTATTATCTACATAATATATGTTCATTATTATTATTATATTAATCATTCGTATAATTATAAAATATTTGTTTATGTACATACGTTGATCTTTCCAAAATGGCTTCAGTCTCTTTTAATCTGTAAAACGCAATTAAAAAAAAAAAAATGATAAAATAAAAAAAAAAGCACTTATATATTATATTTTAGAAAAAACATAATATACAGGGTGTCCCATTTTAAAATACTAATAGATTTTTCACTAAAAATACTAATCCAATCAAAAAGTTGTTTATGAGAGACTTTTAGAGTACAAAAGGGGACGTTAAAGGGAAAAATATATGGTCAAAAATTCAAAATGGCCGACTTAGGTCAAAAATGTGTTTTTTTTTTTAAATAGAAACCAGGTATGTTTTGTTAACCAAACAAATGTTCTTATCAAAACCAACGAAAATTTTTTCGGTAAAACCCATTATATGTAAATTAAGTCTCTTTAGCTATTTTTAGATTTGTTATTTTATTTTGATGTATATGGTAACATTGGTACGTGTGGTAACCATGGTTTTTGTCTTTGTGATCTACAGAAAAGAGGATAACGTTAACGATTAAGATAATGACAATGTTATGTTAATACTAACGATAAAGTTAAAGACAAAAACAAAGATAATGATACATTTTAAGTATGTCTAATTTGAGATGTTCGAATATGCCGCCATTGTTGTCCACACATACCACACACCAAACATGGCACGGTTACCATATGCATCGGAACAAAATAACAAAACTAAAAATAGCTAAAGAGACTTAATTTAAAAATAATGGGTTTTACCATTTATATTATGGGTTTTACCGAAACAATTTTCCTACAAAAGTTGTTAGTTTTGATAAGAACTTTTGTTTGGTTAACGAGAAATACATAGTGTCCATTAAAAAAAAACTTGTATTTTACCGGAAGTCAGTCATTTTGAATTTTAGACCATTTTTTTAACGTCCCCCTTTATACCCCTCTAAAAATCTCTAATAAACAACTTTTTGATTGGATTAGTTTTCTTGGAGAAAAATCGATTAGTGTTTTAAAATGGGACACCCTATATATATATATATATATATATATATATATATAATATAGTAAATTGTGGTAACAGCGATTTGGTTGTGTGAGTTGGAGTTGGATTTGGAATTGGCCAATAATATAATATAATAGAATTTTTAAAGAATATTCCAATCTTGGAATCTTAAATACAATAGTTCTCGATTAACTTATTGAAGTCGAGTTAGATTCATAATTATACTGATTAAGTTTAAAGTTGTAATTTTCAGTTAAAGGTCAATAACAAGTGAAAAGAAGAATAACTCGACTTACATATTTATGGGTGAGTGTAAGTTTTTAACCAATTCATTGAGTTAGTGGAATTAGTACACTTGAACCGCTTAACGTGGATGGAACTTTAACGATACTGTAGTCGATAAATAGTTAAAAATATAAAAAAAACCTTTTCCCTTACACGGCCGACTTAAAGAAGAATAGAACCATAGATTTATATGTGGGCTACAATATGGACAATTTCTGGCTGGCTGAAATATTCTCCATAAAAAATTATCCGTTTAAGGCAGCGTTTTTAGCACATTATCGCAAGCGAGATTTACATAACACCCTGTCGTAAACGCCCTGTTATACATACATATATACCATAGGGTAGGCGGAAGTCAACCGGCGTCTTGGCCGGATCCGGTATAGAAGCTGCTGTCGTTATATAATATAATACACAGCCGCCAGAACAGGGAAGACGGACGTGCCCCAGTTCTAAACTATCAGCCCGGTAAATCCCCGTGGGCGGTAATAATATATTTTATAATATATTATTTTTTACAACCCTCGGCCGTACCACGATGGTGGGGGGGGGGGGGTGGTTTAACGTTTACTACCCTCTAAACGCTCTGCACAATCTCACCTGACCTAACCGATCAGTGCGCACACGTCTTACACCGCGTGGACTCTACGTTAATCGACAAAATATTATTTTTTTAGGGATGACAATAGCTGACAAAACCAACCCCCTCGTGTGTGTCCCTGGCCTTTCACCCCCCCCCCCCCCGGTGTACTTGCGGGGTGGTGGTGGTGGTGGTGTAATTTCAATGGGAGAGCTGCTGCTGTTGACGACGACGACAACCGCGTCCCCGTTGACCTCGGCGCTTGCCGTACCTACATTGATTGTCTGCGCAGTATTTCGCCGAGTGTCGCCACTTTAGTTAAGTTCCTAACCGCCGCCACACGGTATGACGACCATATACATACACATATTGGTATTACACGTCAAACGGGTTTAAACGGTTTTATTAAAAAAAAAAAAAAAAAATTAAAACCTATCATTAGGTATGACAAAGTGTAGACGTTCGACGCAGAGCTGAGAAAGTACCTCCTCCTATTGTTGTCATCTTACAATGATGTGTTTGTTTAAAACTGGTAGAATATGCCATGCTGTTCTCTTTACACACGCCGACAAACGTTGAAAACCACACAAAAAAAAACTCCTTCCCCCCCCACCCATAGAAAGGATGGACATTTTTTTATTTAGACAAAGTCTCAAGGCTCGTAATGATCTTGTAATGAGAGTGTTACATATCAATTTTTTCTTAAAACCGAAGCCAAATTCTTTTTTTTTTTTTATTTAGGAAAAATAAAAAAATATGCGAGTGAAGTCAACGGGTATTGGAAAATATTCGCATTGTATTTTTGTTAATTACAATATATATATATATGGATAACTATATATTATATAACATAGTTATGGCACCAAATTATTATAGACAAACGATCAACCCTAATCGTATCCACCGAAAATACATTTTTAAGCAAATTATTGTCATTTGGTACAATGTTTTATTATCAATTTCAATTGCAATAATTCACACCAGTAACTAGTCGTTTTTCAGTTATTTTATAACGACCTTAATAATTATCAAGACATATTATGTAAGAAGGTTAGGTTAGAATATTTCTGGATGTATTCCTTTTGGCCTGAGGCCACCATTATTGTTACCTATTAACTATGGTAACCTATTAATTATCGATGGATTCATATTGTTATTATTATTATTATGGTTTTATAATTTGTCAACACATTTTACATAACCGGACAGAAGCAACAATTGGCCGGACGTCATCAAACAAGTTCAAAAGTAATATATGTCATTAAAAAAAAACTATGAGAAAATCACACCGTCTCGACTATAAGTGATTGTTAGTAAAAAAAAAAAAACTGTTATTGTTACCTACTACTATTATTATAATAATCGATTGGCTAAATTAAAATTCATTAATTTTTATTGTGTATAATATATATATATATATATATATATATATATAATAAATCTATGCTAGTAATTGAATTAATTCGAACAGACAACGCATTAAGTTACAAGGCTATAAATAGCCTTCAGACTTAAAAATTTGTACCGTGTAAATCATTTATAACCAAACATACAGCAGATCTGTTTTGTCCCATTTTTTATGACAGGGTAAGTGTGTCTCAACGCTAGGTATTGTTTTTTTTAGCACTACCTACAGACATTTAGGCCACTTAATTAAATTATATTTATTTATATGGATATCAATCAATCAAAGTGATACTGCAAAGAAAATATAAAACGAATTTCACGAACGGTCTGCATGAACTAATTGGTACAAAAGTTAATTAAAAGAAAAATTGTTCTTTTTTTCTTTTAAACAAACAAAAAAATACCATTGCTATTTTGAAAACAAATTCGACTAAACCAAACCCGGTATTAAAACATTACAAAGTTTTGGTTTGTTTCCAGTTTTATACAACACTATTATTTTCTATGAAATCTATCATGTTCGGACGGTGACGTTGATTGGGTAGAGCTTATATTATTATAATACTTGAAATCAATTTGAACGGTATCCCCCATCGAATCGTGTGGGCGGTAACACTAAGTATACAACCGTGTTATTATTTTACTATGCCTAAGTGTCTGTCGTCGTCACCGTCCATGGTTGTTGGAGAACCGTAATAACTATCATTACAGTGTACAGAATATGTCATTATCATTATTTACACACAATTAGGTATATGTACATCTCTATTATGTATAAACCCGACGACAAAGTGTAAGGCCAATTTCGTCGAACATGTAAACGTTATGGGGATGTGAAAATGTAAGTTGGCCCTTTTTTTTTTTTGTTTTAATAAATTATAATCAAAAATTGTTGTATGTATAGTTCATGTTTGTTGCCAGTCATGAGAGAGAGAGAATAGTTTATGAAATAATTTTCTTCCTGTGAGAAACACAGACAGGGTGCCCCCCTCCCCCCTCGGGTCTGTGAGTTGTGTGATTAATGTTTTTTTTGCATACCCAGAAAGCGTTTACCACGCGACGTTCTCAAATATTATATGTTTTATTAGAATGTACAATTTTTTTAAAGGATTGATAATTGTGTTTTGATTTATTATGCTGCGATAAAAAAAATGTAAAAACAAAATCCGAGTTTTCGATATATTATTTTGTAATTATTATTATTATTATTATACTTAAATTAATTTGTTTTTGACATTTTATGTCTTTACTTGGGCACACAACCGGAAAAATCGACAGCGTTACCCAAAAAACCTAACGAAAACTGATCCTTATACATCCTTATAGCCTTATATATCCTTATATCCTTATACATCCTTATATTTCAACAAAGTTATAATATTATTACTGTGCTAATATTAGTATGCGTGATAAAATATGAGCTGTGTCAGTATATATTTTGATAGTATGCGTTTGGCTAAGTAGTGAAATTTCTGTTGCTGTGATGCGGTGAGCTTGCCGTGCTGATATGAAAGCTATACATTACCTACAATAATAACTATTTCGCTAACATAACAATAAAAATGTACACCTACTTTTGCTGATAAAAAAACTATGGACTTATCGCAACAGTGTAATATACCTACTTTTACCACGTCTGAAAAAATCCAATAAAAGCTAAAAACGCTTGTAAACGCCGTTTGTACAGTTTTGTATTTGATGAAAGTAAAAAAAAAACTAATGACCGTGTAGTGGGTTTTTTTTTAGGGTTTTCCCGTTCTGCTATAGGTAATGCAGGGGAGAAATTTTATGTTTTTTTAATTATATATAAGGAGATTATAAGGATAAAGAAGGATATAATGATGTATAAGGATATATAAGGATATATAAGGATATAGAAGGATAGAAGGACATATAAGGATGTATAAGGATATATAGGGATATACAAGGATATAGAAGGATATAAGGATACATTTTCGTTAGGTATTTTGGTAACGCTGTCGATTTTTCCGGTTGTGTGCCAAAAGGAAAGACATAAAATGTCAAAAAAAATAATAATAATTGTTGAGGGGGGGGGGGGTCGTCGTCGTCGTCAACTTTTGAGATTTAAATCCATCCGAAACGGCTGGCCCCATCGATCATCTCTACATATGATTTATCAGTAGATCAGTTTTTAGTAGGTACACTCAAATTGTTCAGCCGATGCTGGCAACGATTTAAGAAACAACAAACAGGGCCGTGTACCGTGTACGGTTATTATCCAATACACATAACGTCACCGTCTCCTATCCCGGGGGTTAGGTGGGCGGCGGGGTAAGGGTTCCGCGGGCATTTCACGGGGGTGGTTTTGGGGTGTAATCGTCGACCTTCGGCGAAAAGCAGCGCCTGCCTCGATATCGATTGAGCTGTTAGGTTAGGCTGTCAGAGCCATCTGGCCAAGTATAGCGTGCGACACGGTTGCCCTCAAGTCGCCACCGACAGATAGGGGAGAGTGCCGAGCAAAAGTCCATGGCCTGTTCAACAGAGAGCGCAGCAGTATTCATCGTCATTCGCCCCAAATATATCTCCTTAGCCCTTAGCTCCTTAGTCTCCGACAACACCTTAGCCCACACGAATCCCTACCCCCTCGTTCCAGAACCATGTCGGCATTATCCTTTGTTTCTACGGATGGTAATCGATGATTTATAAAATATATTTCTGAGCCTAAACATTTAAAAACGTTTTGAATGTAATTTTTTTTATGTATGGACCCATTGTTACAACGTTGTCTTGCATCAAAGCCAAGAGATAAATGTTACACTGTTTGGTGGTAAGGTAAAAACGGTAGTTCATCACGCCCTGCGCACAAGTGACATTAAAGTTTGACTTATATTATACATATGTATATAAATATGTAGTATACTGTAATAGTATATGCGAACAGTGTATGAATGATTTTCATTTAACATTTCACATAGCATTTGTGTGTGAATGACAGGTAATTAAACGTTTACCAGGTACAGCGTTTATTTTCATATGGCAAATGTGATTGAACGGTTTAATACAATTATTATAGTACAACATTTTTAATGAAACATTTTTAACTCTAATAGTGGGTTGTTTTTTTTAAATTGTTATTAAAATTCAGACGACTGAACTTTGCAAATTTTATCCAGCCTTATATATTATCGTAGATGATAATAATTATAACAAATGTCTTTCACACACACTCTTATATTATTACACTAATACTCTTATTACATTTTAATATCACTTATGCCTTTGCGACCGATTTAGAATGATGTAGACTCGTCTTAAGAACGAACTGTGCTTTTTCCGTTCTATCAATTATCTCTTTAAGCAATCTTAACATAACTCTTTTTTTTTTTTATTTCAGTCGAGTACAACTAGTATTTTTGACCGTGCAAGTCTAAGTAGTTAATTTTTGTTTTAAAAACAAAAGCTTCTATCTATGATTTCACACTTCCAACAACCTTAGCGCGGTGCTTTATTTAATCGACCATCCAGTTCAAGACTGCAACAACTATTTATGGATATTAAGTACACTTTTTTCGCGTTGTTGAATTGAAATTGTTTTGAAAAAAGGAAAACTATGTCTTTACTTTGGCACACGACCGGAAAAATCGACAGTTTTTTTACCTAACTAAAATTTCTGATGATTTATCTGATAAGATAAGAGAGATAAGAAATAACAGTGATAAGAGTGATAAGAGATAAAATGTCTCTTGTGGTTGCGGACTCGTACGCAAGCTGTTGTGAAGGGATAGAGATAGGGATGGGAATGGGGATAGGGATGGGGATGCGGATGGAGTTGGGGTTGTTTTTCAAAATGTTTTATGAGTCGTTGCAGCCCTCAACTGGATAGTCAAAATAATGTCTGTGCTTAAAGGCTAATGTATTAATTATTTTGTGTAATAAGGTACCTTTCGCTTGCTATGGACGAGTTCCTGGACATGGACTTGGGCGAAACCTCGAAATCCGAGTCGGACCTGTACAGGAACGACTCCCGGCGCTGAGGTAAGTTCTGCAGCACCAAACCGGCGGACGGGGAAGTTCCCCCACCGTCCAGTGGAGATCTCCCGGGACTCGTGCCGGCTCCATTTTCCACATCGAAGCTATAAAAAAAACAAAAAATATATAAATTTCGTTAAAAAAGCAAAATAAAAAACACAACACGAGCACCAACGCGCAACGTAATGCTGTTTTTTCGTGGTTGTTGTTGTTGTTGTTGATATTAGCCCTACGCAGATATGATAACTACTATAAAAAAAAAAATACAATACAATATACTGTAAATATAATACACGGGGGCGTTTTTTAATTCGATTTTCGGTCGTCGAACAAATATGGGAAATTAAACGCAAACAAGTTTGTAACGGCAAAACGATCGGCAAACAAAAACAACACGACCAGAGTCAAACACCGAACGACATTGTATTTGTTCTGTCGATTTCATGCACACAAAACCATGGGATTTTATTTGTATTCTTCTTTACTATTTTTTTTTCTTTTCAAAAGACAATTTTCGTTGTCTCGAGTGATGCAACACGTGCCCGCCTGTCGTTTGCCGTAAACTGATAAGAAATACTGATAACAAGTAGTTGATTAATGACGGTTGATGGTGATAACATTACAAATGGTTGATACTATCTGGTTTTATTTAATCTGTGGCCGTAGGGTGTAATACCACAGATTGGTTGCAAGACAATAGATTTTCAGAAAACAATTTTTGATTGGTTTACTCTTAAGGCGCAGTAGGGCCAAATTATAACGCAGAAAATATTGTACACACTATTTACGATAATAACGTAAACTGATAAGAAATACTGATAACAAGTAGGCGACTAACGACGGTTGACTGTGATAACATTACGGATGATTGATAATGTTTCTTTGACCACACTGTATAACAGAAGGATTATTTTTTTGGTCACTCTGGCCTGAGAGTATAAAAGTTTTGTTTAGATTTTTTGATTTTTTTCCACAGACATAATATATTATAACAAACTAGATTGCCAAGTGTACATGCCGCCAAAAGAGATAATTGAAGTTACCCCTTTTCCGCCATCTTTGTGGGAATTTAAAACCTTATCACATGCTTGCAACTGTTATCACTGGCGATAACAATTATAAATATATCATTTCGTGTACACATAAATGCTACAAAAATGGCGGACGTCGACTTTCATTCTTATCAGTAGTTAGCAATCTAGATCATTATATATAGATCTGTGATTGTTTTACAGTGCACTATCCAGTTTTGCCCAATCCGCCTATACCTATTTGTAAAACGGTATAATGTGTCAAATTTTCGGTCGGATTGGCCACGTCGTGCTTATCAAAATTATAAATATGTCCATTTTTTATTTCCCCTTTTCCCTTGTCCATATTTCGCTGTCACAACGATTACCAGCCATATGGGTCTATGCCGGTGGCAGGACCCAGATTGTTCCCCGGGGACAGAGGTAAAACAAACCTTTGTTAATTAATAATCAACCAACATTATCGAGTCCGACAGATTCGGTTAATAATAATTATTTATTTCACTAATTAAATGATAAATTGTTACATTACAGAATCGGTTTCGGTCAAATCAATCAAATATATATTATTTTACGTTGAAAACGATTCGATGACACTATGTTTGTGTATGGAAATAACAGCAAGCGATGCAATTAGAGTGTTGCTAAAGTCTGCAACACACTGGTGCGATTTTCAATGGCTTTTTTTTCTTTTAACAGAATACGAATTGATGTCAAATAAAAAAGGTAAACACTACTAAAATATACAAACAACTATAGAAACAAAGCTTTTAGTATATTACAATCTTTTAACGGTACTCAAACCATTGCCAAGAACGTTAACGGTTTCGCGGAAGTGCTTTACAAGTGAAACGCTACTGAAAACTTTTACATATTTTTTTTTTATGTTATGTTATGTTTATTCACTGGAAACGGTTTCAAAAGAAACCGGCCGGATTTGATGGGCGCTAAAGTTGTCATTAACCGAGCAGCAAACCGCGGCAACAAAAGCCCTAACCACTGTGTGTACATATTAAATCCTTAGCCGGATGCTTTTGATGTCGTGTTCTGTGTTTACCCCGGGGACGATTAAAAAACTCTGACCGCAAAAACCTTTTAAAAACTTATGGGGGGGGGGGGGGGGGAAGAAAAAAAAACACCAGAAACGTTTAAAAAATATGCCACGAGCGATTCACGGTGCACGAGATTGCTAAACGAGCTGTATAAAGCTTTAAACTTGGAAAAAAAAACATGTAATTTGTTCAACCAAACGTTGTTGGAGTAAACGTCAAGATCTCTGACGTCACACTCGGCGACCGTGGAGGAAGGAGGGGGAGATTAGAGAAAAGATATTTAAGATACTAGATTGGAGATAATAGATTAGAGAAAAGATGAGGTAAAAATAGAGACAATAAATTGGAGATAATAGATTAGAAATAACAGACTAGAACAGAGATTGGAGATAAACGTAGAGATAATGGACTAGAGATAAGATGTTAGAGATACTAGATGAGATAAAATAGAATAGAGGTATGATATCAGAGATAATAGATTAGAGGAGATATGAGATAAAAATAGAGATAATGAATCAGAGATTGTAGATTAAAAATAACGGATTAGGGATAAGATATTATAGATACTAGATTAGAGATAAAAATAAAGACAACGGATTAGAGGTAAGATATTAGAAAAAAAAAATAGAGGTAAGATATCGGAGATAATAAATAAGAGATAAAATAAATATAATATATTAGAGATAAAAATAGAGATACGATAATAGATATAAAAGATCATAGATTAGAGAAAAGATGAGTTAAAAATAGAGATAACGAATTGGAGATAATATATTAGAAGTAACAGATTAGATAAGAGATTACAGATAAACATAGAGATAATGGACTAGAGATAAGATATTAGAAATACTAGATGAGATAAAATAGAATAGAGGTAACATGTCAGAGATAACAGAGAAGACATTAGAGATAATAGATTAGAGGAGATACGAGATCAAAATAGAGATAAAATCAGAGATTAAAGATTAGAAATAACGGATTAGAGATAAGATACGAAAGATACTAGATTAGAGAAAGTAAAATAGAGGTAAGATATCAGAGATTATTAATAAGAGATAAAATAGATATAATGAATAAGAGATAAAAATAGAGATACTAGATTAAAGATGAGATATTAGAGATAATGTATCAGAGATAATAAATAATAGATACAAGTTTAGAGATAAAAGATAAGAGATTACAGATGAGATTAAAGGTAAGAGTTAAACTATTAGAAAAAATAGAGTAGAAATATGAGATTAGAGGTAAGAAATAAGAAGAGTACCAAAAAGTTCCAGCGTCCTATACCTACTTGAATATAAAGACATATACATGTGCCCATGTATCGGCTTGTAGTGTGGATGCTCGTTTTTTTTCACTACTAAAAAATAGAACGTATAATTTTCCAACGACAAATTGCAAATATCTGTTGTGTTTATTTTATAAACAACAAGCAATATTATTATAATGATGGAAGAGTTTTACAAGACTACTAGTAATTGGCTCTCGGTACTAGTGTCTTAAGGTGGCGGCAGTTTTTAACGAGGGCACCTGAAATTGCCATCGACTCAATTGTTGTTGTCGTTTTCAATTAAACATAGTATATTAAATATTATTCACCGTTTTGGACTGTTGTTCTGCAAGCGCTTATTATGATAATAACGTTTGTACCAGAGAAAACAACAATCGGACGACCGAGAGAAATATTCAAAAGCAGCTATTCAAGTGTGCGCACACAACAATAAAGGATTTGTTGCATAAATCCGGGTACAAAATAAGCAGACACCACACGCAAAATATCATCTTAATACGTTCTTACAAAGACCGCCAGAATATTCTCATAACACTGTTCTCCACGTGTTATCCATGCAGTAAAAAAGTAATACAAGTCTTAAGTCCTACGAACAATGATTACCAAAGCCCCTATATAAGTCTTCAACGAAACCAGCCACCCTGTCCTCAACGTACACACGATAACTACCTGCGGTTTCACTCCAAACTTGTAAACCGCAAAAATCCACTAGTTTCCAACCGCCACAAAAACTACATCTCCAAAAGCTCTGCCTTCACTCTCTCTCTCTCTCTGGATGTGCAACAGTTTGGAAAATTTAAATCCATTTATAATACGCCTGATTTGTATGTTTACAGCCACAATAGCCATTGCTCTGCTCAAAGTATAAATAATAATAGTGTAAAAAGCTATATATATATATATATATTTTAATACAGTTTCTATAACGTGAAGAGGGTAGACATTTATTGAACATTATTCCCACAGTTGTGCGCGCATATTAAACAGATATAATTTTTATAAAAACCCACGTTTTTGTCTTAGCGCCGAATCTCTTTTGAGGAATACTGTCAGAAGAAAACGCGGATCAAATCCAAAGTGGGTAGACATTGGTTTTTTTTGCCCTCTATAAAACGTCAAAATAATATTATCATGAACGACAGCGTGTAATGAATACAGACAGACCCTAACCGGTGCGGCCAATCCCTGTGGAAGATTGTGGCCGTCAAGTGTTTTCTTATGGTTGTCAAACTCGATAAAAAAACCGCAGTGAATGTTTTTCTGTTATCTCTTCTGGTCACCCCGTTAGGATGACAGCTTCAGTCCCACGGCGGCTTTTGTATAGCAATTTCCAATTGGACCGGAATTGAACCGTCGCAGAATTCAGAAGGTATAATAATAATAATAATAATACTTCCATCACTAATACTTTGGCTCACTCCGGTTAATATCAGATTTGTGCGCAAAGACTCTGATCGCTTTCGGTTGAAATCATAAGTATTAGTAGGCCTACCCAATAATAGCAAGTACGCCGTGAAGCCCGATCAAGTGTTCACGGTCGACGGCTCTGGGTTTATCGCTTTATAGGCTTATACAATTATTCAAAATTGGTCGGCTTGCAAACCTTCTACCACAGCACCACAGACACCACACAGTCTACATGTGCATATTATGTTAGCGAGCCCAGTTTGATCAAAACGATATCGGCTATATTCCAGAGCTTTCTACGCATATATAGGTGTGAAACCTGG